CTTAGATGGAATCCAAGAACGTATTGCTCGTAAGGTAGAGAGCCATCCTTACCGTGATCTCCACGAACTCCTACATTTAGCCATCCAAATAGAAAAACAAGATCAGAGGAAAATCCCGGCTAAGTCGAGTAAGATCCCAAGTAGGACCCTCATCATACTCACCAAAGCCTTCATCTGGTCCTAGGAAAGAAACGTCTGAGGTTAAAGTCTCGCGTGACCTCCAGGATAAAGGAAGAGTCCCCGGAGCTTCACGAGCTCCGAAACCACCCGTAGATAACCCTAGGGACACTCGATCTAGAGAGATCATTTGTTATAAGTGTCGGGGCCGTGGACATATGGCTAAGGACTGCCCCAACTCTCGTGTAATGATACTGATGGATAACAGAGAGTACGAGTCCATGGATGAGGAAGAAGTGGGTGAACCCGACGAGGAGATCGAATACCCCGACAGCGGTGAACTCTTAGTTACGAGACGAGTTCTGAGTATCTTAGTTACTCCGGACGAGACCGCCCAATGAGAGACCATTTTGCACACTCGTTGTACCGTCCAAGGAAAAATCTGCGAACTGATCATAGATAGCGGATCATGCACGAATGTCGCAAGTGCGTATATGGTCAAGAAGCTCGGATTAGTACCCAAGAAACATCCGCACCCCTATAAACTTCAATGGTTGAACAACAGTGGGGAACTTAAGGTTACCGAGCGCGTCAAGGTACCATTTAGTATCGGACGATACCGAGACGAGGTCACATGCGATGTTGTTCCAATGCAGGCGGGACACATGCTACTCGGTAGACCATGGCAGTTCGACCGAGAGGTCAGCCATGATGGGCGAGCGAACCAGTACTCTTTCGTTTATAACAAGAGGAAGATTGTACTCGCACCCCTTAGTCCATCTCAAGTGCATGAGATGCAGCAGAAACTAGCTAAGGACACCGAATCCAAGAAGAAGAACTTCTACATTAAAGCTAGTCAAGTCGAGCGGGCTGTTCGTCAAGAACAATCGGTACTTCTCATGGTTTTTAAGGACGTCATGAACCTGAGGACGGAAGTACCTACCGATAACCCCGCCATAAGTTGACTACTTGAACGATTCCGAGATGTGTTTCCGGACGAGATTCCGACAGGATTACCACCCATCCGAGGGATCGAGCACCAAATCGACCTAGTACCCGGTGCTCCTTTACCTAACCGACCCGCCTACCGAATGAACCCAGAAGAGATGAAAAAGCTCGAGAAACAAGTTCAAGAGCTTATGAGAAAGGGTTACATTCGAGAGAGTCTTAGTCCATGTACAGTTCCGGTGCTATTAGTACCCAAGAAGGATGGAACTTGGCACATGTGTGTGGATTGCCGAGCGATCAACAACATTACCGTTAAATACCGGCATCCCATCCCTAGACTCGATGACATGCTTGATGAGTAGAGCGGAGCCACGATCTTTTCAAAGATCGACCTTAAGAGTGGCTACCATCAAGTGAGAATGAAAGAAGGCGACGAGTGGAAAACCGCCTTCAAGACCAAACAAGGTCTTTACGAGTGGCTAGTTATGCCTTTCGGGTTGACCAATGCCCCGAGTACATTCATGCGCCTCATGAACCAGGTTTTGCGAACTTTCATAGGAAAGTTTGTCGTGGTCTACTTTGACGATATCCTCATGTATAGTCGGACCACCGAGGATCATTATTCGCACCTAGAGCAAGTCTTGACCACTTTGAGGAAGGAAAGCCTTTATGCGAACCTGAAGAAGTGTTCGTTTTGTACCGATGAGTTGGTGTTTCTTGGCTTCGTGGTCAGCTCTAAAGGTTTGCGAGTTGACGAGGAAAAGGTTAAAGCCATTAAAGAATGGCCGACTCCTACCACAGTTGGACACGTGAGGAGTTTTCTCGGGTTAGCAAGTTTTTATCGTCGATTTGTTCGGGACTTCAGTAGTATAGCCGCTCCTCTTACCGCCATCACTAAGAAAGATGTGAACTTTGAGTGGGGAGAAAATCAAGTGAGCGCATTTGAGGTACTTAAGGACAGCCTTACCCGAGCACTCGTCTTAGTTCTTCCGAACTTCGACAAAACCTTTGAGATTGAGTGCGATGCCTCTGGGATTGGCATAGGAGCTGTCCTGCAGGAAAAGAGGCCCGTCGCTTATTTTAGCGAGAAAATTATTGGGGCTGCTCTCAACTATCCGACATACGACAAAGAGCTATACGCGCTCGTGCGTGCATTAGA